CTTGCTGAGCGTCGTGAGCCTTCGTCTTGTCCCGCGTCGCCTGTTCGTCCTGCTCGCGCTAGTGGTCGCGGTTCCCGTCAGCGTCCTCCTCCTGTCCCTGGCACGCACCGGATGTCTCTGCGTCTGTCCACTGCTCCTCTGCGTGCCCCTTTGCCTTCTCCTACCGAGTCCTCTCTTCCTGCGCTTGCCGACCCTGAGTCGGACTCCCTTCGTGCTGCCAGTCCTAATGTCACGCGTCTGCTTGCTACTGTCGTCACTGACCCCTCTTTTGAGTCCACTGCTGCGTCTGCTCTTGTCGCTGAGCTCGTTGACTTTGCTGCTCGATGTCGTCTCGACTACGCTGCTAGTCTTGTTGCTGAGTATGCGTCTGTCTGTCCTCCGTCCGTCGGGGGTGAGTGTGCCCTTGGCACGGACGTCCTAGAGGACAGGCAGGAGGAGTTAGAGTGTCTGGAGGCTGCTTCACCTCATCTCGCGTCTGTACTGCTTGCTCCTGAGGGAGACCCGGATGCACTAGACATCCCGACTCCGCGCTCTTACGCGGAGGCCGTAGAGGGTCTCTACTCCTCTCAGTGGCAGGCAGCTATGGATGCAGAGATGGCTTCCTGGAAGTCCACAGGCACCTACGTTGACGCAGTTCCCCCTCCTGGGGCGAACATCGTCAGTGGCATGTGGATCTTCAGGGTGAAGCGGCCGCCGGGCTCTCCACCTGTCTTCAAGGCGCGTCACGTTGCTCGTGGCTTCAGTCAACGGCAGGGAGTTGACTACTTTCAGACCTTCTCTCCCACCCCGAAGATGACCACTCTTTGGGTGCTGCTGCACATAGTCGCTCAGCGCGACTACGAGCTTCACTCTCTCGACTTCAGCACTGCGTTCCTGCAGGGTAGCCTTCACGAGGAGATCTGGCTGCGCCGTCCACCTGGCTTCACTGGGACTTTTCCTCCTGGCACCCAGTGGAGCCTCCGACGGCCAGTCTACCGTCTCCGCTAGGCACCGCGTGAGTGGCACGACACACTGAGGACTACGCTTGCGGCTCTTGGGTTTGCTCCTTCTACTGCTGACCCGTCGCTGTTTCTGCGCACCGACACTTCACTGCCGCCGTTCTACATCCTCGTGTACGTCGACGACTTGGTCTTTGCCACAGCGGACACTGCTGGACTCGCCTACGTGAAGTCCGAGCTGCTGAAGAGACACACGTGCACAGACCTGGGTGAACTGCGCAGCTACCTTGGCTTGCAGATCACTCGGGACAGAGCACGCCGCACCATTACCTTGACTCAGTCACACATGGTGCAGCAGGTCCTTCAGCGCTTCGGCTTCACGTACTCCTCGCCTCAGGCCACTCCTCTGTCTACTCGCCACTCGCTCTCAGCTCTGCCTTCGGATGAGTCCGTAGAGTCGAGTGGCCCGTACCCAGAGCTTGTTGGCTGCCTCATGTACCTGATGACCTGCACACGACCTGACCTTGCATACCCTCTGAGCATTCTTGCACGCTATGTTGCTCCTGGGAGACACCGACCAGAGCACATGGCTGCAGCGAAGAGGGTATTGCGCTACCTGTGCAGTACGTCGGGCATGGGGCTAGTGCTTGGAGGGCGGAGTCCAGTGGTCCTTACCGGCCACGCGGACGCTTCTTGGGCTGACGACCAGGCTACGCAGCGGTCGTCACAGGGTTACACCTTCAGCCTTGGTTCCGGCTCTGTCTCGTGGCTGTCTACTCGCTCGTCTTCGGTTCTCGGCTCCAGTTGTGAGGCTGAGATCTACGCCGGGGCCATGGCTGCACAGGAGCTTCGCTGGCTCACCTACCTGCTGACTGACCTTGGAGAGCCGCCTCGTTCTCCTCCAGTGCTGTACGTAGACAACAAGGCCATGCTGGCCTTGTGTCGAGAGCAGCGTCTGGAGCACTGAACAAAGCACATTGCTCTTCGTTACTTCCTTGCTCGTGAGCTACAGCAGCGTGGACAGTTGCGGCTTGCTTACGTGGCCTCTGAGGCCAACACTGCTGATGTGTTCACCAAGGCACTCGCGCCTTGTGACCATCAGCGCTTCTGCACCCAGCTGGGTCTTGTGCCTGTCTTGCCTCACTTGCTCTCCTCTTGACTTTACTTGTACTGTGACATATATATACCTGCTCTTGCTTGTCTAGTTTTATATATATATGTCTGTACTCCTGCATGTGAACTGGCCTCTGGCCCTGCTCTTGTGCTCGGACTGTGTGGTGACTTTGTGATCCACCCTGAGCTTGCTTTGTTTTACTTTGCTTGACTGGTCTTGTGACCCCTTGTTCTCCCCCACTTTGCCTATGGGGGTGTGTCAGATATATATGACATAGCTGTTGTAGGCCATAGTGGGGTAGCACATATGGGGTACAGCTCTCTAGGGTTTGTATTTGTACCAAACGTTCACTTAGTCATTCATTCCTGTTCTACTATTCTCACATGCTGCTCCCTGTATTTTCCCGTGGATCAGTACCGGACAATCCGTCGCTGTACCCTTCTTATTCATCCGAGCCTGATTGATGGCGTGAATCGGTACTGTGACTCGGTGAGGGTCGGTGTGGTTGGGTGAGCAGACAGTCTCGTCAGTAGTTGGCCCAACTTCTACTTACTGCTGGCGTTTCCCTGCCTCTGAGACTCTTTCCCCTGCTCTGCTCCTCGACGCCTCAGCTCCTCTGGGCATTCGCTCTTGCGATGGCCCGGCCGGTTGCAAGCAAAGCAGCGCCCTCTAAACGGTGTGGCAGCTGGATTCGTTGCGACGGCATGTACAGTGGCATGCTCGATCGGTCCCCGAGGACGATGTCCGTAATAGGACCCCGGTCTTGGTCGGCGTAGGATGTCGATTTTCTTGGCGAGCGCGAGAATCTTGTTGAAGTTCGAGAGCCCGCGTAGCATTATCTCGTGCGAGATGTCCGGCTTCAGCCCTTCGACGTAACGGTCCACCCGCTCCGCCTCGTGCATGTAGCCGACCTGTTCGCAAAGTGCGAGAAAGCCGCTGGTATAGTCTTGAACTGACCCGAGCTGGCGCCAAGTGCGCAGTTTCTGACGCGCCGAAATCGAAGCCGCGATCGGCTCAAAGTGCGCCCGAAGCCCTGCGCACCACGCATCCCACGTGCTGTATTGGGCGGTTTCGCAGAACGAACTCCAGGTAACAGCTGGACCCGAGGGCCCTTCCTCGTTCGACGGTGGCTCGTAGGCGCGTGGCGACGTCACGATGACTCGCCACCAGTCCATGGCGGGGCCCCTGAGTAGTGAAACCGCATACCGGATCTTGGCGGCGTTCGACTCGACGTAGTTGGCGTCGAAAAATACATTCATCGTGAAGACCCACGATTGAACTATCGGACCGCCGCGTTGGCTTGGGTCGAAGCAGGGCGGGCGTTGCGGCTTGAGTGGCATTGGGGCCATTATGGCGTTTTCGCCACTTGTCGCCGCAAACTCCGCGTGCTCACGGGCTTCTCGGGGCTCCCGTGGGCTTGGTGCGCTCCTGTTCCCTCCCATGCCGGGCATCGGCTGGGCGGCGCCTTCACTGGCTGCGCCTGAGCGTTGTCCCGTGCTCTCGTGTTGTGTCGGTGTGCCGGACGAGATGACAATTGGCTCCTCCGAATGTGCATATTCATTGGTTGGTGCGTGTGATGTCGTCGGTACGTTCACTGTTGATTGTTGACGGGCGGAGTCACGTTCCGCCGTGAGAGTCACGATTTCGAGCACCGAGTCCTGCAATTGACGCACGAGACGATCGAGTTGCTCTTGCGTCATCGTGGCGAGCGTGAAATCGGCCATGGCGGGGGTGTCGGGCGAGCTCAGCGAGAGCCTCAGTCATGGCCGTGCGTGCTTGCAAGAGAGCACTACGAGCGGCGGTGTTGTATCCCTGAGAGACGTCTACCCCCCCCAAAATTTGAGATAGTGGGAAGCAAAGGTGTGGATGCGGTCCGAGATGAGATCGTAGGCTCTGAATACCAAGTGTTACGAGTGCAATTGAGTGAACGAACGGGAATTGCACTATCGAAGCAAGAGTACAATGAGCCAAGGCATGAGCGAACAATATATAGCGAAAACTACAGTGGTAACGGTAATGGTCGCGCGACGAGCCTGGGACTGAGGTTAGGAAAGTGTCGAAGCTTAGGCCCGGAGCGCGGGTTACCAGCCGAGCCGTGAGGTTGGGATGCGATGTGCGAAAATGGCGGGATGATGAATGATGCGATGGTCGCGAGTGGTAACGGTGCTGACTGAGGTGCTACAGTGATGTACGCGTTGAGCAGGGATCCGAAGTAAGGAAAAGGGAATTTCCTTACACCCACTCACCCCAGTTCGTACACGCCATCCGCTTTACTGCGTGAAGTAAAATCCACGCCCAAGTTGCTGCTTGTCGAGGAGGCCAATTCTTGCGGGACACGTTTCCCTGGCATTCCCCAGTGCTCCTGTGGTTGTGGTCTGCTGTGTCTGCCGTGGTCTGCACTTCCAAATTCAAAGCTTCATGTTCAGCCAGTTCATTCAGCGTTCCTCATTCCGTAATCAGAATTCTTTCCGCTTTCGTCGTAGGTCTCTCGCACTGACGAATTACGAGTGTGCATTACGCGTAGGTTCTGTTTACCGTTTACCGACTGCCGGATTGTCGACGGCGAGGCAACCATAGCTTCTTGTAACGCTCATTCTCACATGGTCAGCAACCATAGCTTCTTGTAACGCTCATTCTCACATGGTAAGCAACCATAGCTTCTTGTAACGCTCATTCTCACATGGTCAGCAACCATAGCTTCTTGTAACGCTCATTCTCACATGGTCAGCAACCATAGCCCATCAGCTCGTGTTCACAAACTCGTGTTCCGCCGCCAATAGCCGCCGTCACTCATTCAAGTCGAGAACATTGCGCTTAATTCTACATATTCTCTCAATCTCTTCGCTTTTCCTTACGCCTCGGACTAGCTAGTGATCGCATTGAACAATAATCGAGTTTTGGGACCTCTCAGCGTTCGCAAGCCATCGCCTTGGTGCAATAAGGCCATAATGAGCACGGAAACGCTCGATGCTCCTCCACCATCTGCTTCCGGTTCTAACGCCGCCAGCCAGAAAATGCCAGCGATGGGATTCGAAGAGCGGCTCAGGCGCATGTGTGATCGAGCCAGGCAGATTGACGAGGCGGCGGGGAAGGGCATGTCTGACAGCGAGAAGCAGCAATGCCTGGAGGAGCAGAGGGAGGAGGTGAGATGAGGCTGAGAGGGGTGAGATGAGGCTGAGAGGGGTGAGATGAGGCTGAGAGGGGTGAGATGAGGCTGAGAGGGGTGAGATGAGGCTGAGAGGGGTGAGATGAGGCTGAGAGGGGTGAGATGAGGCTGAAGCGAACGGTGAGTTGGAGCAGGTCCTGGCATCTTCGCCCTAACAGCACGCTCTCCCTAGCCTAACTACGCAATTCTCCTTCCGCATCTTCCCCACCCAACCCATTTATCAACCTTCAATTCGACCATCCTTTTTAGCCATCCATCCATTCGTCCAGTCAACCATTCATCCTTACATCCACGTGCCCATGCCCCGCACCAGGTGGAGGCTCTTCAGTCCGTTTTCGACTCTGACTTTGAGCCCATTGGGCTCGCATCCTCCTCCTCCCCTTGAGTCAACTCAAAAGTAACCCTGTTATTCATGCCCCTCGCCTCACCACACCAGGTCGAAGCTCTGCGGTCCATTTTTGACTCCGACTTTGAGCCCATTTGGCTCGCATCCTCCTCCTCCTCCTCCCCGTCCTCACCCACCTCCTCCTCTGCTCCTGAAGAGGCGGCCGCCTCGAGTTTCACAACCTCGCCGTACAACTGCGTCATGGTACGAGATGTTAAGTTTTTTTGTTTTAGGTGCCTCAAACGTTTCACAGCGTCCCCTTACAACTGCTTCATGGTACGAGATGTTCAGAAATATCAAACGCCGCGGCATATAGCAGTTACATGGTGCGAGATCAGTTGGTTTTTGTTGCAATGCGCAATACCTGTACCCATTCGCTAATTTATTGTTATGGCCATCATGAGAGGGGAAGAGATGTACTCGCCTCCTGAAACATGTAGATGCTTTTTATTTTTTCTTTTTCCTCTCTCCTTTGGTTCTTTTTACATAGAAACCTTTCTCTCATCGCTTTCCTTGCTTTTCTTTGTGTCAACTTTCTATCCCTTCCCCATCCCATCCAGATTGACATCTGCATCACAATACCCTCGCCCATGCTCGTGGTCCCCTCGCCTCCTTCTGCCACTGCTTCCTCTTCCTCGACCTCTTCTTTCAACCCCTCCTCCTCCTCCTCCTCCTCCTCCTCCTCCTCCTCCTCCTCCTCCTCCTCCTCCTCCTCCTCCTCCTCCTCCTCCTCCTCCTCCCCCCAACCCTCCACCACCACCACCACCACCTCTCCCGACTCCCCTCTCCCTCGTCCGTTCCTCATCTCACATCTCCCCCCTCTCCGCCTCCTCGCCCTCCTCCCCCACACCTACCCCTCCGCCTCCCCACCCCTCTTCGCCCTCTTCTCCTCCTGGCTCTCCCATGCCCAGCTGGCGCGCCTCTGCGCCCAGCTGGACGCCACGTGGCAGCAGCAGAGTGGCCTGGTCGTGCTGTACACGTGGGCAGCGTGGCTTGGCGAGGAGACGCTGGGATGCCTTGGGATTGGTCAGGATCTGAAGCTTGCGGGTGGGGAAGGATGGGGCGGATCGGGGGGAGCAGCAGGCGGAGGAGGAGGAGAAGAAGCATCAGCATCATCATCAGCAACAGCAGCAGCAGCAGCAGCCGCTGCTGCCTCATTGTCATGCTCATGCCAAGACGCACCAGCGGGTGTGGGTGTGAGTGTGGTGGGTGTGGGAGCAGACGTAGGAGGATACTGCAGGGCAGTGTACGAGGGCATGTCTCTGCAGGACGACCTGGCTCTTCTGAAGCGGTGGAGCAAGGAGATGGACGACCGGGTGTTCCGAGCATCCCTCCATGCGTGCGCCATCTGCTTCTCTGAGAAGCCCGGGACGGAGTGTGTGCGTGCCGCGTGCACACACGCGTTCTGCACGGCGTGCATGAGGGCGTTTTCAGAGGCGCACGTGGCTGAGGGCAATCTGCAGGCGCTCAAGTGCCCTGACACCAAGTGCCGTGCTCCCCTCTCCTACGGTAAGCCTGCCAACAAACTCATCTTCCTTTGCATGAGGGCGTTTGCAGAGGCGCACGTGGCTAAGGGGAATTACAAGCGCTTAAATACCCATACCAAGTGCCGCGCTCAAATGCCCTGATACCAAGTGCCGCGCTCAAATGCCCTGATACCAAGTGCCGCGCTCAAATGCCCTGATACCAAGTGCCGCGCTCTGCTTTCCTACGGTAAGCCTGCCAACAAACATGAGGGCGTTTGCAGAGGTGCACGTGGCTGAGCTGAGGGGAATCTCCAGGCAGTCAAGTGCCCACCCGGACATCAAGTTCCGTGCTCCCCTCTCCTATGGTGGGTGTGCTAATTGTCACTGCTGCGATCACTGCTGATCCCTGCCTCTCTCTTCTCGAATGGTCCTTGTATTGATAGATGGGTGATACAGAGGAAGATGCAAACACAAGCAAGCACAAACATAGCACACGGTTTTCCTAACTAGCCTCTCTCTTCTCTCTCTCGTTGGGAGCATCGCAACCTTCAGCGCTCCCTAGACGCCATGCCAGACATTGCCTTCTGCCCGCGCTGCACCCACAATCTCCCCCCTCCCTCCTGCTTCCTCGTCCCCATACAGATCTCCTCCGCACCCTACTTCCAGCTGCCCTCTTCTTTCGCTGGGAGCAGCTCGCCCTTCAACGATCCCTAGACGCCATGCCAGACATTGCCTTCTGCCCGCGCTGCTCCCAGCCCGCAGTGGAGGACCCATCAGACCACCACGCGCTGTGCCCTCTCCCTGTTTCCCCAAAGCCTATACGTCCTGTCTCCTTGCCCTTAAACCATCCGTTTTGTGCCCTCCCCCGCTCTCCACCTCCCATCCCCTCTTTTGTTCAGCAGATCTCCTGCGCACCCTGCTTCCTGCGCCCCTATTTTCTCGTTGGGAGCAACTGACCCTCCAGCGCTCCCTAGACGCCATGCCCGACATTGCCTTCTGCCCGCGCTGCTCCCACAATCCCCCCGTCCCCCATGCTTTCCCATTCCCACACAGATCTTCTGCGCACCCTGCTTCCAGCTGACCTATTCTCTCGCTGGGAGCAGCTAACCCTGCAACGATCCCTAGACGCCATGCCAGACATTGCCTTCTGCCCGCGCTGCACTCAGCATTCATATGGTCACCCCCCTTCCTTCCCTTCCCATTATAACAGATCTCCTGCGCACACTCCTCCCTGCTGACCTTTTCTCTCGCTGGGAGCAGCTCACTCTCCAGCGCACCCTAGACGCCATGCCAGACATTGCCTTCTGCCCGCGCTGCTCCCAGCCGGCAGTGGAGGACCCATCAGACCACCACGCGCTGTGCCCCGGGTGCTTCTTCTCCTTCTGCGGGATGTGCCGCGAGGGGTTTCACCAAGGCAGGAGCTGCATCACTCAGGAGCTAGCTCTTAAGTTGATGAAGGTGAGGGTCCAGTGCAGTGCAGGTACTAGGCGATTTGTGAGAACGGCACAAAGGCCACCACGCGCTGTGCCCCGGGTGCTTCTTCTCCTTCTGCGGGTTGTGCCCCGAGGACTTTCACAGGGGCAGGAGCTGCATCACTCCCGAGCTAGCACTTAAACTGATGAAGGTGAGAGTGCAGGTGCATTAGCGCGTGGACACATTTCTAAGGTTGAGAGCTTTGGGGGTGACTTTCTGCCCGGAGGAGTGAACTCTAGCTGTGCGCGAGCTGTGCAATCAGAAAGTTGTTAAAACTCTTGCCTCCTGCTTTTCTCGTCTCTTTCTTTTCTGTTTCAGCTGCGGAAGCAGGAGCGGGCGCTGGCAGAGGAAGAGCTGAGGAAGCAGAAGGACCTTGAGCAACAAGTACTTAGCCTCAAGTAAGTACTTAGCTCTGAAGTGATCCCTTAGTCTCAAGTGGGTACTTTGTCTCAAGTGGGTACTTTGTCCCAGGTGGGTATTTTGCCTTGTGTACCCTTGGCAAAGGTAAATATAGCCTCTCAAGTCTTCCACACATTTACAAATGTCCGAGCATGATTCTCACACACATTCCACCCCTCTCTCTTAGTTCCCTCAGGCTGGTGGAGGAATCGAGTGTGCCGTGCGTGTCCCGTGTGCAGCACGGGCATCAGCAGGAGCGAGGGGTGTTTCTCGCAGGCTAGTGGACTTCTTTCGTACTTCTTCTCGCTGGTTGGTGGAGGAGTCGAGCGTGCCGTGCCCCGTGTGCAGCACAGGCCTATGGGTGTCGAGCGTGCCGTGCCCCGTGTGCAGCACAGGCCTATGGGTGTCAACAATTCACAGAGGCCGAGATCCCTTTCTTATTCCCATCCCCCTTGCTACTGGTCAGGCTGGTGGAGGAGTCGAGCGTGCCATGCCCCGTGTGCAGCACGGCCATCAGCAAGAGCGAGGGGTGCAACAAGATGATCTGTCCCTCCTTGTCATCCCCTCTCTCACTCACCCAAACTCACACTCACGTTCACCCGCACACTGTTCTTGTCCTCTCCCACTCATGGTCAGGCTGGTGGAGGAGTCGAGTGTGCCGTGCCGTGCCCCATGTGCAGCACGGGCCTATGGGTGTCAACAATTCACAGAGGCCGAGATCCCTTTCTTATTCCCATCCCCCTTGCTACTGGTCAGGCTGGTGGAGGAGTTGAGTGTGCCATGCCCCGTGTGCAGCACGGCCATCAGCAGGAGCGAGGGGTGCAACAAGATGATCTGTCCCACCTGCAACGCCTTCTTCTGCTACCGCTGCCGCGCGCGCATCGACGGTTACGACCACTTCACGTATGTTATTGCTATGTTGCAACTTGTTACCCTGTTACCACGTCACATACATTACCCCATCCCCATTGCCCCACCTGCAACGCTTTCTTCTGCTACCGCTGCCATGAGCGCATCGACGGTTACGACCACTTCACGTATGTTATTGCTATGTTGCAACTTGTTACCCTGTTACCACGTCACATACATTACCCCATCCCCATCGCCCCACCTGCAACGCTTTCTTCTGCTACCGCTGCCATGAGCGCATCAACGGTTACGACCACTTCACCTACGTTACCACTTTATGTATGTTACCATCTTGTGTATGTTACCATTTCATGTATATTACCACTTTGTGTGAGTTACCACTTCATGTATATTAGCAGGGAGGGCAGCTATGTGCTCTTTGAGGCAGCGGAGATAGAGCATTGGGAGATGCAAGTCACATGCCCTCATTTCCCCCCCTTTCCCTTATTTTTCCCTTGCTACCTTGCATCACCAGGGAGGGCAAGTGTGTGCTGTTTGAGGCAGCGGAGATAGAGCTGTGGGAGATGCAGATGGCATACCTTCGTTCACCAGTTGCCAGTTTCCCTCTCTCTCTTTCCCCAATTCTTTCCTTGCAACCTTGCATAACCAGGGAGGGAAAGTGGGTGTTGTTTGAGGCAGTGGAGATAGAGCAGTGGGAGATGCAAGTCACATACCCTCATTTCCCTCCTCTTTGTGCCTTATTTTCCCCTTGCAACCCTGCATGACAGGGAGGGAAAGTGTGTGCTGTTTGAGGCGGCGGAGATAGAGCTGTGGGAGATGCAGGTCGCATACCCTCATGCCCTTCTTTGTCCATTTTTTTTCCCCTTGCAACCTTGCATCACCAGGGAGGGCAAGTGTGTGCTGTTTGAGGCGGCGGAGATAGAGCTGTGGGAGATGCAGATGGCAGCCATGGGTGGAGCACAGCGCCGCAACCATCGAGCCGCGCCGGCGCCGGCGCCGCCCATCGGAGCGGATGGCAGGCCGCTGCTTGCGAGGCGCTGCCCCAATTGCCGTCTATTCAATTATAAGGTAAGCATTTGACAAGGTCTGTTCAGGCTGCAAGGTAGTGTGTCGTCAGCTAGTATAGCTATATAAATGTTGCTGGTGTGATGGTGGTATCATCTTACCCTGTTCCTGTGTGTTTCTTGCAACCCGTTTTTCTTTGCAGGAGGGGAGGAATAATGACATGCATTGCCGAAATTGCCGTACACGCTTTTGCGGCATGTGCAACCAGATCATGAGAAATGTGTACCATTTTCGACCCAATGGATGTCGCCAACACACTGATGACTAACCAAGTATAGGGATGGACGCATGGGTTAGCAATTTGTTTGGGATCACCATTTTAAACGTTGGTTTTTGCATGCATATCATCCTTCTGTAATAAATTATTGTATAGAGGCTTCATATTATATAACTTCTGTTTTTGCCTACTGATTCGAATTTCGAAAATGGGCGAAACAGTAGCGCGTACCGCCGTTTTTTTTCGTAGCGGCGGAACAGCTCACATCGCGATTCCGAGCAAAGTCTGACCATCGCTGGACGTCAACTACGCTTCCTGAGCCGACAAACTAAGCGCCTGCGACGAGAGATTTTCTCCAGACCCGGAAACGGTGATTTGCCGTTGCACACGTAGGCTCAATTTGCTAGCGTGGTCGGACAATTTGATGATAATTGCTCGAGTGGTCTTGCCAGAGGTTTCCTCTGGCTTTTTTTTTATCCGGCACATTACCCAAAACCGGTTTTTAGCCCTGCTTTTCTTACGTCGTTCGTGTCTCTTCCCGCAAAAACGTGGCATGTGTTTTTCCGCCCGATTTTTTCGGCTGGGTGACGTGCGCGAGGGCGGCCACGTCATCGTTCTATTACACGACAATAATCAACACGATCATGTTGGGCGAACAATCGCACTCATTTTCGGTCCAATTCTTGACCAATCCGCGCATAGAGATATGAATCCCCGATCATATACTCAGTTGCACGACTGTCCACACGCGCGACCAATTACAGAGCGCGTGTGATTGGTCGACTTTATGCGCAAAGTACTTTTTTACCTTGTGCGTCCAATCAAGCGCGGTCATGTAAGATCGCGCTCATATAAAACCGCGCATTTACCTATATGAGCGCGCATATGTGGTGCTCGAATGTATGTGCGATCTGTTTTATTAATAAACAACTATATTAATAGAATCGAGAGACGTTCACTACCGGTGTTTTGCCATTGTATCTTTATAACACTGTGCGGTCCGTTCATTTAGCAATCATAGGGTTTATTGTATCTGTAGACATGTCGACCTCTAGGCATGCCTACAATGATATTACGTAGATTTGATGTGTACTGAGCACGCAATATCATTGTTGACCATACGTCTCATCAGTTATTGTGCAGAAAGGCATCGATTATGTCGTCCGCCGCCCCTGCACAGGTTTAGCAAACAAGTTCATTAGATGAATGCAGGGTTTAATGAAACTACAACATATGAATAAGCACTAATATATTGGTATGTGTACCTTTTGTACCACTGGTGAGTTTAAACATATATTCCATTTCCAGTAGCGCGATCTCATATGGGCGTGACCCTATATGAGCGCGCCTGATTGGACGCGCAAGATCAGAAAAGGGCCCGCGCATAGAGTCGACCAATCACACGCGCTCTGTAATTGGTCGCGCGTGTGGACAGTCGTGCAATTGAGTATATGATCGGAGATTCATATCTCTATGCGGGATTGGTCAATAATTGGACCGAAAATGAGCGCGACTGTTCGCCTAACATGATCGTGTTGATTATTGTCGTGTATACGAACGGTGACGTGGCCGTCCTCGCGCACGTCACCCAGCCGAAGAAAATCGGGCGGAAAAACACACGCCACGTTTTTGCGGGAAGAGACACGAACGACGTAAGAAAAGTAGGGCTAAAAACCGGTTTTGGGTAATGTGCCGGATAAAAAAAAAGCCAGAGGAAACCTCTGGCAAGACCACTCGAGCAATTATCATCAAATTGTCCGACCACGCTAGCAAATTGAGCCTACGTGTGCAACGGCAAATCACCGTTTCCGGGTCTGGAGAAAATCTCTCGCCTGCGACGTTCTTCGCAAATTGTGTGCGCGCCAACGGCCGGATTTGAGAAGCCCGCGCCCTGCCGACAGGGCCAACATTCAGCCATCCAACGCGGCTCGTGATTCGCGGGGAAAGACTTGGCGGCACGGTTCGCCAATTTGGTTGAGAGTTTGAGCAACACATATGGCGCCGAGGAAGAGGGCAAACAAAAAAACGTCCAGGCACAAGAGGGAGGGGAGGCAAGTGTAGCGGAATAGACCGCTGGTGACAACGGGTTGCCTTGATTCAGCTGGCTGCAAAATGTTGCTGTGCCCAACCATCCCATACCTCTTCTTGCGCTTCACTCACGTCATCGTGCTCCCTGCACCTGCTTGGCCTCTCGATGAGCTAGGCCTGGACTAGTGGACTCACAAATTCAAAATTCATCCCGCCTTGAGTCTCGTCCTAGCCGTCTGCGAACGTCGCCTACCTTGATGAACCGTTTCGCGCGTACCGCGTTGCATTGCATCCCCCACGCCGTCCCTCAATATCGGACTGTTCGGCCAACTCCATCCGCTCCCTGCACCTTTCGAATAAAAGCCTTTCCTCGACCGACATTGCGTCTGTTTTCGTCCCAAGCCCTCAAGCCCGCTCACCACACCACCACCGTCCACGGGGAGATTTGAACTTTCTCGTTCAAAACTCCTCCCACTCCGTCTCATACCACCCCGTAACACGTCGTGAGTTGCTCGTCGCCTCCAAGTCAGCACCCAGCTGACTCTGCTCCTTCTTAGCTTTACTATTCAAGCACCCAGGGTAACCCTTCCATCCAGCGTTCCTCACGCTACGTTTCGTTTTCCCAAGGTCCATTAAGAAACTACCTGTTGGCAAAAGTACAGTTGACCTAGACCACGTCTCCGCTCAAAATTTGGCTTCGTTGCATTTGAGAATCCTCTAGAGCGAATTGTTTCACTGCCAGCAATGTCGATTTCAAGCCTCCCGAGCAGATCGCGCTCGCACTCGCGGCTATACCACAAGCGATCTCAATTTCTACCAGCAAAGCCTCGCGAGCACGTGACACTCTCCTCGCGGCTCCCTCTCCTAGCCCCTCTCATGGTCTCTCTCCTCCTCCTCACCATCTCTTCACAAGCCACAGTCGCAGCCGCCTTCCCTTACGCCTCCGCCCATGCGCGGTGGTTGCAGGACGTCTCCGCTCCTCCCCCTCCCCCCATTGTCGCTCCTCCGCCTCCCCTTGCCACGGTTTCTCCCCCTCCGCCTGTCGCCGCGGCCTCGACCGCTTCTCCACCGCCGCTCGACTCCTTCTCTCCTCCGCCACCAACCACCTCCCCTCCGCCTCCTACCCTCTCCCCTCCCCCGCCCACTACCTCCCCATCTCCTCCGCTCTCCCCTCCTCCTTCACCTCCTTCGTCCCCCCCTCCCTCACCGCCGCTCCCTCCACCTCCCACCCCCCCTTCTCCCCCACCCTCCCCTCCCCCGACTCCTCCCCCTCCCCCTTCCCCGCCTCCGCCGCCTCCCCCGCTGGGAACCTGCCCCGCACCGTTCACAGTCGGCGCGCGCTGCACCAACTGCACCAAGGCCGGCGGCTGTATCTGCGACTCGTTCGGCGTGTGCCGGCCGACCTGCAGCTACGTGCCAGGCGTCGACTACAAGTCGCCCACGTGGCGGCGCGCGTGCAACACGTGCCCGAGCAAGCGCCTTGGCGTACCGAACGCGCAATGCGCGTGCGACATCAACGGCAGCCAGCAGTGCGTCGATTTCTGCGCGCTCCCGGAGAACAACAACGGCGTGACGCCGTGCGTGGGGTGCAAGAACGCGACGGGCAACGGGTGCGTGTGCGGGCGCGGGCAGTGCGTCGACGCGTGCAGCACCGCCAACCCCATGTCGGCGCTCGTCAGAGGAGCACCCTGCACCGTCGGATGCTCGTGAGTTGAACTGAGCTCACCCTTACAATCCTCGTCAAATCTCAGCGGACGTTTGTTCAAAAATTTCAGCTTATTCACGGTTCGAGCTTTCTCGCTTTTGTCTCGCTGGCTGTTCGGCGTGGGCAGGGCCAAGGCGGGGAAGGACGGGTGCGTGTGTTCGCCGTCCAAGGCCAAGTGCGTGCCGTTCTGCAACGAGAAGGACGGCTTTAAGTGCTCCAACTCGGAGTCCGGCGAGGGCTACTGCCGCGCGGGGCTCTGCTACGACATCTGCGCCATTGCCAGTGAGTGTTCATTGCCATTGCCTCTTTTGGGCGCCGAAGAGAAGCTGCTCTTCCGCCAAGCAAGAGCCCGGCACCGTTTGCCGCCACACAGCGGGTAATGAACGGGATCAACCAAGCAACGAGGTGAATTACAAAAGAAACGAGCGAATTGTTACATACGATTTTCCTCGAGCATTCCTCGTGCGTGAAAGCATTTTGAGGTCGAATTCCTTTTTGACTGCGAGTCTCAGCGTCCCCGTTCCCGTCCACTCCCCGTCCCCTTCCTCCCCGACCCCGTCCCCCACAGAGCCCGGCACTGTTTGCCGCACGTGCAACAGGACGAAAGGCGGCTCGTGCGTCTGCGGCTCGTCGGGAAAGTGCGAGCCCGACCTCTCGTGCACGGGCCCGTCTCCCGTTCCGCTTGTTCTTAACTCGTCGAACGCGTATCCGTGCACTTCTTGCTCTAACGCGTATTATTACCCTGTGACTAACGTCAACGTGGTTACGGCGCCGGGGTGTAGATGTGCTGGTAAAGGGAAGTGTGTGGAGCCTTGTAACGGGGGATTGGCGGAAGGCGCGGTGTGCAGCGGAGGAGCGGCGTGCGCGGATAACACGAACGGGTGCAGGTGTACGCAAGGGCGGTGTAGACCGTTTTGCGAGTTGCCTACTAACGAGGGAGCTGCTTGCGGGGATATGTTTTCGCAGCAGGGGACGTGCGTTGGTGGGAAGTGCGTGCCGCGGTGTAGCGTGGCGGGAAGCGACGGGCTGCAATGCAGTTACAACTGTACAAGGTAAGCGAGAACGTTACATGCATGGAGGGGGATTGGTTGGGGGGTGAGAGAAAGGTGGAAAGGAGTGGGAGTGCATGGGGTGGAAGGAGCACAGGAGTGGGTGTGAGGGGTGGGAGGAGTACCGCACAAGAGTCCGTGACCTGAACAATACCATTCCAGTTTTAGCGGCCTTTTCCTATCATTCATCTTTTCCTATCAATCATTCTTCTCATACTCGCTCGTTAGCTCATCATCAATAATCTTGTCTTTGAACTCTATCTCTCTCCCTTTTGTGTGTGTGACTGCAGCCAAGTGTGCTTATGTTCTGCTGGTCAGTGCAAACCGCAGTGTCAACTACCCAGTGCCGAAGGAGGAGAGTGTTTCGACAGGTGTGACAGCGGAGGGCCATGCAGGTGTTACAGAGGGGAGTGTGTCAATAAATGCCAAGTGCCGGCAAATGAGGGTACCAGATGTGTAGACTGCGCCCGTAACCCATACTGCAAGTGCAGAAGAGGGGCATGTGTTAATGAGAGGTGAGGAGGGTGGGTCTGACTAGGAGAGGTGCAGTTTCGCCTAGGGCAGGAATCTTGGCAAATAAAAGGGATCCTGACTTGCTATACTTTTTTCTCAACTCTGAAATGTTATTAACAGCCTGCTCCATGTAACTCTCTTCCTAGTCACCACAATGTCGGTCCAACAAGCAGAGCATTGCCATACATGCTGGAATCGCCATGAATTGCTCATTGTGCCTTGTGGCCGCTGCCTCTTTTGCAAGGTTCGTTGCCACACATCCAGCACATCTCCAAACTCGTGCATGCTTAGAAACTCAACATCCTAGCCAGCAAGTAGATCATTTTCCCTTATTAAGTATACAGCCAATACTGGTGTTACGAGTGCAATTGAGTGAACGAACGAGAATTGCACAATCGAAGCAAGAGTACAATGAGCGGAGGTATGAGCGAAATATATGTAGCGAAACTACAGTGGTAACGGTAATGGACTGAAGTTGTCGCGCGACGGGCCTGGGACTGAGGTTGGGAAAAGTGTCGAAGCGAAGGCCTGGAGCGCGGGTTACCCGCCGAGCCGTAAGGTCGGGGTGTGATGTGCGAAGGTGGCGGGCGGTTTGTCGATGCGAGGGTTGCGAGTGGTAACGGTGCTGACTGTGGTCCTAAAGTGATGTACGCGTTGAGCAGGGATGCGAAGTAAGGAAAAAGGATTTTCCTTACACTACCCCCCCCCCCCCTAAGGAGGTCCTCCTTACGAAAGTGCGTGTACATCCCTGAAATTTCGGCTGCGCAGATACTCGGTGAGGACGGGGTGGTTTTCGATTCTGTCCAGGGGATCCCAATTGTCTTCGGTGAGTGTACGGTTCTTCCGGCGGAGTAAGAACTCGATCCTTCGGGCTCCTCGAGGGTCGCGAACTCTGTGACTCAGGATTTTCTCGGGGGTGATGATTGGTTCAGTTGGTGGTTTTGTCATGCTGGCTGGGCGATTGCGTGGCAGTTGGCTCGTGGATGGGACATAAGGGCGAAGTAGGCTGACGTGGAATTGAGGGGCTGACATACCAGTCAGCAGGGAGGAGGAGGTGGGCGGTGTCGGGTGTAAGCATGTGGCTTATGCGAAATGACCCACAGTATCGGGAGCGGAGTTTCGAGGTGATGGGCAGTCAGAGGTTCTGGGTGTCAAGTAAAACTAAGTCGTCGGGCTGGTGAGTGACAGGTCTGCGGTGGCGGTCGGCGTTGCATTTAGCGATGATGTTCGATTTTTTTATTGCGTCTGCTGCCCGGGTCCGTGCCGCTTGTAATATTTCGGCAAATTGTTGTGCTCGTGGTACTGGTTTGTCGGGATTCGGGGTCATGGATACTATCAGGTCTTGTCCGTAGTTTAGGTAAAATGGTGACTGCTGGGTCGTGGCGAATGGTAAGTTGTGTTTAGGTAAAATGGTGACTGCTGGGTCGTGGCGAATGGTAAGTTGTTGTACACGAATTCGATTAGTGGCAGTTGCTGTTCCCACGTGGTCGGGTTGTCACACGTGGCCCTGATGAGCTGTTCCATGGTCTGATTTGTCCGTTCTGTCTGTCCGTCGGTTTCGGGGTGGTATGATCAACTGAACTGCAGTCGCGTGCCGAACTGTTGCCACAGGTACCACCAGAAGTTGCTGGTGAATTTCGTGTCGCGGTCGCTGATGATCGCGGCTGGTATCCTGTGCAGTCGAACGACGGTGGAGATGAAGAGGCGTGCTGTTTCCTCGGCTGTGATTGATTTTTTGCAGGCTGCGAAATGTGCCATTTTCGTCAGTGGATCGACGACGACCAGGATCGCGTCGTTCCTACTCGCCCCGGCTGGAAACCTCGTGACGAAGTCCATTGTCACCTGCTGCCAAGCACGCTCTGGGGGTGGTATTGGCTGCAACTGTCCCGCCGGCCGGTGTCGTAATGATTTCATGAGCTGACAAGCGGGACACGATGCCACGTGTCGTTGTACGTCGGTCAACATTTCGGGCCAGTAATAATATCGCTGCAGCTGCTGGCGTGTTTTTTCTACTCCGAAATGCCCCGAGGTAACTCCGTCGTGTGCCTCCTGTAACAGTAATTCCCGTAGCAGTGTATACCCAGGCACCCAAATGCGGTCAGTCCCGGTTTTGTTGATTGTTTCTCGTAGCAGCAAAGGGAGTCTATTACGTAATAGACTCTGTCAGATGATGCATATATTTAGGCTGTAGTGGGGTAGCCCATAGGGGGTACAACCCAATTAGGGTTGGTACTTGTACTCCTTTCATTTTCATAGTGCACACATTCTCTCTCTAATCTCAACATGGTATAGAGCGGGTCCTTCCTAAGGACCATTTTTTGAAGGGCCCACCCACGAAATTTTCGCTGCCCGGAGCGCGCCCTTCTCTCCCCGAAGCGCGCTCCCCCTAGTCCTTCTCGCGCTGCCCTTGTGACCCCCGCGAGTCGCGCGCGCGACCCTTTTTTTTTTCGCGCGCGCGGCCCGGGCCACGTCGCGCTGGCCTTACGGTCGAGTCGCGCCGCCCTCGCGGCTCTGCTGCGTCGCGCCGCCCTCGCGGCCCCCTAGCGCCGCCCACGCGGCCTCATCGCCTGCCTCTGCAGGCCCCGACGTCGCACCTGCCGGCCCCGCCGTTGCACCTGCCGGCCCCGCAGCTGCACCTGACGACCCCGCCGTCCCCTTCTGACGACCCTGCCGTCCCTTTCTGCCGGCCCCTCCGCTGCACTTGACGGCCCCGCCGTCCCCTTTGCCGGCCCCGCCGCTGCTTCAGACGGCCCCGCCGCTGCACCTGACGGCCCCGCCGTCCCCTCCGACGGCCCCGCCGCTGCAACTGACGGCTCCGCCACTGCACCTATCGGCCCCGCCACTACCCCTGACGGCCCCGCCACTGCATCTCCCGGCTCCGCAGCTGCATCTCCCGGCCCCGCCGCCCCAGCAGCCGAGCCGCCTCAGCAGCCGAGCCGCCCCAGCAGCCGAGCCGCCCCAGCAGCCGAGCCGCCCTAGCAGCCGAGCCGCCCGAGCCGCCCGAGCCGCATGCACTGCCCTGTCTGGTGAGCACTGAGCTTTACTCTGCGCACTGCCCTCACCCTACTGCTGTCATGGCTACCCCCAGTGTCCTCACCTTTGACGCTGAGGGTAGAGCCATAGACTTTGACGTGTGGGTAGACGACCTGCTGCTTTTCCTACAGTGCGACAGAGCTGACGGCCTCTCTCTCTTTGATCTCACTTCTGGTGCCTCTCCCGCCCCTGCTGCTACTGAGGATGCCACTGTTCGCTCAGTGTGGGCCACACGCGATGCTGCTGCACGTCTTGCTGTGCGTCGCCACCTCCCTCCCTCTGAGCGTGCACACTTTGGGTCGTACAAGAGTGCTCAGACCTTGTACGACGCCGTTATTGCACGCTACTCCACCCCTGCCACTGCTGCACTGAGCCGCCTCATGCTACCGTACCTCTTTCCCGACCTTGCTTCCTTTGCCACAGTCGCCGACCTCATTACCCACCTGCGCACTAGTGACGCTCGCTTCCGCGCTGCGCTTCCTGCTGAGTTCTGCGCCAAGAACCCCCCCCCCCAGTACTTCACTCTCTACTACATTGTCACCCGCCTCCCTGACTCCCTCCGCGGAGTCAGGGACGACTTACTCTCAGTCTGCCCCACCACTCTCACTGTTAACATCCTCGAGAAGTCCCTCCTAGCAGCCGAGAAGAGCATTCTCGCTGTAGGGGCCTCTCGTGGTGACCCGCGCACCCCCATCTTTGAGGGGTGTTCCCCCTCCCCCCTCCTGCCCTCTGTCGCCTCTGCTGCTACGGCCGACCTAGTTGGTTTTGAGTCGGTCGGTGCGGCGTCTGACCCCAGTGGGAGACGTCTCTCTAGCAAGGGCAAAGGGGGCAGGAGCGGTGGTGGAGGCGGCGGGGGCGGTGGGAGCGGCGGTGGAGGCAGCGGAGGAGGTGGGGGTGGTAGCGGGAGTGGTGTCGGGAGTGGAGGTGTCAGCGGCGGCAGTGGAGGCGGGGGTGGCAGCGGCGGTGGTGGTGGGAGTGGAGGCGGAGGCGGCGGTGGCGGCAGCGACGGTGGGAGTGGCGGTGGCAGCGGAGGTGGTGGCGGTGGCGGAGGAGGAGGCGGCGGAGGAGGTCGTGGCTCTTCGCAGAGGAGTGGCTCCGGTGGCGGTCAGCGCCAACAGCAGCGGCAGCAGCGTGGTCAGGAGACCCTCTCCCCGCAACAGCTCCGTGAGTGGTACGCTGCACGTCAGAGGGGTGGGGGTACTGGTCCGTGCACCTACGTCTTACGCACGGGCGACCGTGCGGGTGAGCCGTGTGGTGGTCCACACCCCGCCCAGCGCTGCTTCGGCCGCCTGACTGACGCTTGGCGCCGCCAGTTTCCTGACGCCTCTGAGATCCCTCGCTGGGACCAGCTGTCTAGGGCAGGAGTAGCTATCTTTGATCTTGACTTTGATGCTATTCTTGCTGCCATGTATGCTGTGACTATTAGTGAGGAGGGTGACTGTTACCGGTGTTTCCCGCCCGACCCGGGCATTGGTACTGCGGCTCTAGGTGCTGTTGAGGCTGCTGCTCCAGGTGCTGGTGAGGCTGTCGCTCTAGGTGCCAGTGAGTCTGTGTCCTCAGGTGCTGGTGAGTCTGCTCTCTCAGGTACTGCGTCGGCTCCGCCCTCTCTCACCTTCACTCTTGACTCAGGGGCGTCTCGCTCCTTCTTTCGAGACCGCACCACACTCACGCCGCTTAGTCGGCCAGTAGCGGTCTCCCTGGCGGACCACTCTGGGGGTCCTGTTCTGGCTCGCTACTCCACTGTCCTGCCGTGCCCTGCGGTCCCGTCTGGCGCCCTGTCCGGTCTCTACCTCCCCTCGTTCTCTATGAACTTGGTGGCGGGTGCTGACCTACAGGATGCAGGGGTCGACCAGTTCACCCCTGCACGCCGACGGGACACCCACTGCACGGACGCGGACACGGGTCGACACTTGACCACGTTCACACGTGGGCCGGGGTCGAGCCTGTACACACTCACTGTTCCGTCTCCTCCTCTTGCGTCTGGTCAGGTAG